TTCCAATAAACACTCTCAAAAGATAGTGACCAGACATTCACTGCATCTCACACTGTTTAGAGTTAAACTAACAACAACAACAAATCCTGTGTTACTACTGATGATTTTCAACAAGGAGGAAAGAAAAAAACCTTCAGAATATTTTTTTTTTTTAATTTGGTCAAAAGATCCTGAAGGCTTCATCCCCTATCCTGTATACTGGCAAATAAAATGTCAGACTAACTTGAGTAGTAGCATGTCGATGAAAGTCCTAATCTTACTTATATTATGCTAAGCAAAACTCTTTAAGGAGCAGCCTTAAACAGCCTTGCCTGGAACAAGAAACTTTATGGAGGCAATAAATCAGTTCAGCAGAAAGAATTCAGCCTTTCAGCTTCTGGCAGCTGATTGACAGCCAACATAAGAGGTCTCATAGTTGCTAACTCACTGTGATCCTTCTTGTCTCTTCCAACACTAGAAAGCCTGCTCATGATTTTTGGTTCAGTGAAAGTCTGGGGCTATATTTAACTTAAATGCTCTGTACGTTCTGCATTAGGAGTTTAATGAAAAAGAGTATCTGAAACAAGTTTCCTACCAGTAGATGTGTTGATCTGCCCTCAAAACCAGTGACTGTTACTGAAATGATACCTGTAAACAGCAGGAAAACATATAACATTTACATATGCTGCACAAATTATTTGTTTTTTATGCTGTTCCACCTGTTACGAACGGTGTAAAACATTTCAATTTTTGAAATGCTGTTGTTCCTTCCAACAAGGAAAAAACCCTCTGCCCTCTCTTAATGTGGTTCAAGTAGCACTCGACTCCTACTGGGTCTTCAGGTATGTGACTCTTAAATAGTGTAATGGCATTGCAACTCACTTCCAAATAAAGCATCGGTGCAAACTACAAAATTTTAAAGCAGTATGACCTGTTCCTTTGCTAATTGTTGAATTCTAGATAACTGAAAGGATATTTGTTTTGGTTTGTGGCTTCTTTTTTTGAGAAGAAATCTAGTGATAAAAGAACATGAATTGGGAGTACAGTAGAAGATAACTGTGTGACTTGATTAGCAGGATGTTTTAGTAACTTAATGATAATGTGCGGAGTTAACAACAACTGTCAATAACCCCTGGCTTATAGGTTAAAACAGAAATGTAGAGGGTATTGCATTTGATTTCTACTCTGCTAATACAGATGTTAATGACTTAAATGCTAAGTGTTACTGTCCTATCTCCTTATCTGAAATAGCCTTAATTCTGTCTGCCTCATCTTAAGAAGATAGTGTATATAAACACAGTAATGTTACAGAGCTCCACATGAAAAATCATTGATAAACTTACTCCCAAGATACTTTGTTTACCCTTGGAAATGAGTAAAATAGATTATATGCTTCATCTGAGCCTTAGGTGTTGAAAAAAGGAACGTGAAAACTATTGCTCTGCTTATTACCCCCTATGGCTGCGCAAGCAGTCGTGAATTCATTGGAAGGTAGACACAGGAACTCAAAAGATAATTTTTTTTCTCAGTTTTCTGTTATATGAAGCAACCCTGATACTTTACATTGTAATTCAAATGGTATTTTTTGGCTGTTCTCTAACAGCACCTACAGGTACTGTGCTTTAGGTCGTGCCTGAGCAGTGTCATTCATATCCAATAGATTCTTTCCCTTCTTGAATATTTGCCAAGTTGCCTTTTTCCTACAACTATAAACACTGTTGGTTCATGGTTGGGTTCTCTCTTTCGGCCCTCCTATGCTTCCAGAACCAATGCCTGCCCTGTTCCTGGTCTCGTTCTTTGTGCGGTTGATTATTCTCCTGTACGTTAGATCATTTTGATAGGGACAATCTAGGTACTGCTGTTTGGAGCGAGATCTCCCAAGTGAGCGAGCTGTCTCAAGAGTTGTCACCACATGATCTCGGTGTTGTCTTCCTCCCAGATGCAGGGCTTTTGACATTGCACCCCCTGCCTCAAGCAGGCTGATGCAGCTTCATGAAGTGGCAAAGCTTTCCTTGAATGCTGCGCTAGTTCTGCGCCAAGGTTATGAAGCAGAATTCAGGAGCCAATTCAAGACTCCTTTCCCAGAATGACTAAAGCTGTTCCTTTCAGCAGAAAGCGAGGTTGGCTCAGCTGACTTGGGAAACCTTACCCCACTTTAAAAAAGGGACATAATATTGCAGAATACCTTACGACAGCAATTAAGAGAACTCTTAATCTGAAGACTATTGCCGTGTACCTTCAGCATGGTATCTTCTGAAGTTAGTAGGATGAGAACAGTGCCAAGAAGGATGAGAGCTACAGCAATGAGACAAAGCACTCGATTGCAGCCTACGTAGGTTTTGACGGCTAAACTGTGTTTTTCATACAAGTCCTTTCGGCTGCTGGTATTCTGAAATAGGAACTTAAAATGAAGTAAGACTCAACTGACGCACAACTGCTAACTGCAGTTCCTTACCATTCAGAATCTTGCCTTTAGATTGTGGGAGTAGAAAATTTTTTTAGACTGATAGTAGCCTAAGTGTGAAGCTGCCTAAAACTAAGTTTTATTTCAGTCAATACAGATACATCATCTGAAGCTTTATGACCAAAGCCTTGGCAAGTAAATCTCCAAATTTTACAGGCATGGCACTTGGTGGCTCATCTAGTATCAACATACGGTGTTTCATGTAGACTTGTTTCACTCCACTTCAAAGTACAGGTGTGACTGGAAAAACTATTGACCCAATTGTATGGAATCCAGTAATTAGAACTGGGAAGGTTTGTAAATTAGGTAAGTCAAAGGGTGTGCGTAGGTAGCTCAGTGGATAATTACGCGAGGAGGAGCGGGCTGTGTCAAAGTTCTCTACATGGTACTCAAATAAATTACTCTACACACGTTTGTTAAGCTTGGAATGATGCTTGGGGGTTCTTGAATTCTATGTGCTTGACAAAGCACAGACAGTGTGATGGAGGAGGGGGTAGTGAAGAGGAAGCTACGAACAAGCCCTGGGCATCCACAAACTAGTTACAGCAATGCCATGGGGTGGGCAAGATATGGTGGGTTGGGTTTTTTTTTACAGAGGAAAAAGAAGTTACTGCTGCTTGCCACACTGAGAACTAATTAAAACCAGTATTCTCTCTGACTAAATCCAAGAATAAGCTACTAAAGACAAACATTTAATGATTCTTTTAGCCTGCGAAAGATGTTAAAGATTTTAGATGTCAAAACTTACGAAATTATTTACTGTTCTCCCTGATTACAATGTTATTTTACTTCTTCCAAGGTAAGACTTCTGCTAAACAAAGCATGGAATTAGACAGCACGTAGCGCTTTGCTGGTTGGGGGGCCTCGATTCAGCTTAATGCAGCGCAGTAGAAACGAACCTAACGGTCACGCAGAGCCAAGTCCGCCTTCTCCTTGCCCAGCGGGGAGAGGTTCTGGTCACTCAGGAAAGCAGACCACGCACGGGCGGGCAGGAGGCCGGCAAGCGCACCCTTAGGTTTGAACGTAAATATGTACGTAAACCAAGCGTGTACGTTGAAGGTGACGTGAGTGCCAGCAGATGCAAACGATGGGGAACGTTCAACACGAGCTGCTATGGCGTGACGGTGGGGAACGTTCAACACGAGCTATGTCGTGACAGCGGGGAACGTTCAACATGAGCTGCCATGTCGCGACGGTGGGGAACATTCAACAGGAGCTATGTTGTGACGAGGGGGAACGTTCAACATGAGCTATGTCACAATGGCAGGGAATGTTCAACATGAGCTATGTAGCGACGAGGGGGAACGTTCAACATGAGCTATGTCGCGACGGCAGGGAACGTTCAACATGAGCTGCTATGTCGTGATGGTGGGGAACGTTCAACATGAGCTGTTACGTCGTGACGGTGGGGAACGTTCAACATGAGCTATGTCGTGATGAGGGGGAACGTTCAACATGAGCTGTTACGTCGTGACGGTGGGGAACATTCAACATGAGCTATGTCGTGATGAGGGGGAATGTTCAACATGAACTATGTCACGATGGCAGGGAACGTTCAACATGAGCTATGTCACGACGGCAGGGAACGTTCAACATGAGCTATGTCACGATGACGGGGAACGTTCAACATGAGCCATGTCGCGACGGCAGGGAACATTCAACATGAGCTGCCATGTC